CCGCCGCCACCCATCCAAAGAACAGGCTTGTCAGGTGCGTCCTTGAAGAACGTCTCCCACCTCTGCTGGAAATCGGGGCCTATTTCTTCGAGCTCCTTGGCATTTGGCCGAAGCTTGACCCCTGCATCAATGCCGCTGATGATATGACATCAATGTTTGCATTATGGTACATGCTAAAATATACTCACTTGCTAGCCATCAGTCCAGAGCCGTCTTTGAGCCATTGCGCAGACCATTCTACGGGAGAAGCACTTGATGAGCTTGGAGTGAGGAAAACACCAACATTCCACGTACTTTGGACTTCGCTCTCTTCGCCTCGCATTATGCCATCCAAATTGAGCGTATCCTCACGAGAGAAGTATGGCACGATAATGAGCGGATGATCTGACAGTCGTCGTCACACGAAGGCATTAAATCTTGATATTGTCAACTCAAGTCATTGAGAGTTCCCACCTCGATAGTTTTCGCCAACGCCTGGTAGGTCTACTAGCTGTTCCACACCATGCTTCTCTAGAATCGACTTTGCGCCAATGCCCGATCGTTCCAAAACGCTAGGGGAGCCGAATGAGCCTGCAGAGAGCACAACCAATCGCTTGGCACGGGCTACGACAACCTCCGAGGTTGCATTGGGGTTAAAGCGAGGGTTGTAAACATACTCTACCCCAACTGCGCGCTTTCCTCTGCAAAAGCGGGTCAATGAATGTGCTACATTCAAAAAGGGAGCTACTCACTCGAAAATTACCCTTTTCACTACGCAGCCGGTCAAGATGTGAAGATTCTTGTTATCTTGCTTATACAAGAAATGGGCTACATCTGAGCGTTTCCCCGTCTCAGCATCAATCCACCTAAACAGACTGAGCGTCGGTCCGAGGAAAGACGGAGCGTGCTGATGCTATGCCTACTTGGGCCACCTCTGTTACTGAGGTTAGTCGGGTACTGGCAGTAGTTGATAGGCTATCACTCACAGCGTATCCACCCAGAGCGAATAGCTGATTTGGGTCGTCAGTGAAGCTTCTCTCCTTGTCATACGCTAGCCCAACATCGATGAAGTCCTTCCCAGCATCGGTGCTCACACCCCCTCCATGCGACACTTTCAAGGGGCCTGAATAGCCATGAACTTCCCTATCTGCATCGATTTGATATGTCTCTGTCTACAGCCGGAACAATATTAGATGATGCTCGTAAGGGCATGTAGACTGACCAAACTAACTTTTTTGAGCAATGGCAAGAGATCCTTTGCCTTCCACCCGACATTCCCGTATTTAGTTTCCCAATCGTCGTAGTCGGAGGCAGCCGCGCGTGTATACATCATCCCTGCAGAGGACATGAGCGATGAGTATGATCCACTGCGTAAGGCGTGCTTCAGAGCATGGCGAGCTCACAGTTTACGCTAGACCCGCCGCCAACACACTGTCCACAGGGGAAAATGAGCGCACGGCCCCCAACGGCCTCGCTCTCCTTTGCAACTATAAACCTGACAGTGGTACTATCGGGTCGTAAGTGACTTAAAAATTGCACTGGCTGGACGTGCGCCAGATCATCGCGCGTGTGTAGGCCAGCTTCTACAATCAGGATCTTGAGGGAGGGGTCGGCCGCCGCCAGTCTCCCTGCAGCAAAACCACCAGCAGCACCACCTGTAACGATCGGGACCCATCGGGTCACTACTGGGCCAGAGAATAAATGGGGGGTTATAGGATTACCTCCTACAAAGATAATGTCATATTCAGATTCAAGAGCGGACATCTTGAAGACGATGGTAGCAGAAGTTATGGCTCACAAGGCATGGCAAGCAGCCGGGACGCAGCAAACGAGAGGCACGTGATGTTTGGTTCTGCTTACGTATTGCGCGCACTCCGTGCACGACTGCGTCAACTTCAGATATCTGTGGAAGCTAGCTATGAGACTCGGAGACCGCCAGCGCCGCAAGAATACACATACGCGTACAGCGACGTGCGTGCATGCGGGTGTAATGTTTATGTGTGCTGTGAAAGAGACTCCGTCGCTTGAGCTCACGCACAAATGACGCGCAAAAAGTATCTTCGTTCGCGAGGGGGGAACGAGAGGAAATTCGTAGATACATGCGTTTTCGTGGGCTTTATATGCGGTAGCTAGAGTCACATGTTACGGGCGGACAGCGGGCGGGCATCGGGACCGAGCCATTACGTGGAGAGAATGGCCACACCTTGTTTGGTAACTGTTGGGGTCGATTCGCTTATGTCAGCTGGTGTGCCGCTCATTGACATTAATAATACTTGCTGCGATCTTCCACCTCGATCTTCGCCGCTTCAACAGAGCGAGAAACAAAGCACTCGGCCCCGACGTAGATAATCTGGCATACTTTCAAGATGGGTATCGTAGAGAAGGTCTGTCGATACTGTCGCGTTATCAGCACACCTACTGAATGGAGTTTTAGATGAAAGAGATTGAGGGCAGGTGTCGTCCTTTCTTCAAAGTGCAAGAAAAACCATTGAAATTTTGCCCGCGGTGACCAGAGGAGATGGCTAGAAGTGAGCCTTATTCTGCGCTGCGTATCCATCAATATTGCGATCTTGACACATATCTCAGCCCAGAAGAATAAAGTCCGTAAACTCAACTGCTTGCATATACACTAGCGATCAACTGTGTGATACTTCTTTAGGCCACAGAATATCATCTGGGCCTTCTTAAAGCCAAGCTCGCGCGTTATCGTGCACAGCTACTTGAACCAACGGGCAAGTCTGGAAAGGCTGGTGAAGGGTTCGATGTCCAAAAGAGCGGAGGTACGAAATCATCTGCAGATCGCGCGCAGCGCAGAGAAAAACAGGCATTAAATAATCATCTACATAGATGCGCGCGTCGCTCTGATAGGATTCCCGTCTGTCGGAAAGTCCACTCTGCTGTCTAAGACGACAAAAACGGCGTCCGAAACGGCTGCCTATGAGTTCACCACGCTCACCGCTATCCCCGGAGTAATTGAATATGGCGGTGCTCGCATTCAGCTCCTTGATCTCCCCGTCAGTCTTCGCCGCTATTTCTGTTTATTCGTAGCCCAAATTGACTCGTGATTTAGGGGATCGTTGAAGGCGCCGCTCAAGGTCGGGGCCGAGGTCGCCAGGTCGTTTCTGGCAAGTTTTATACATCTTTTAATATCGCCCCTTTCCCTTACCGGCCTGCTACTCACTAGTTGCAAAGACCGCCGACTTGATCATCATAATGCTTGATGCGACCAAATCTCAAGAGCAGCGTCGACTGTTAGAGATCGAGCTGGATGCGGTTGGCATCAGACTAAACAAAAAGAAGCCTGACGGTTGGCATTATTTTTGTCCTGACCCAATATCTCCCCTGCTTACCGGATACCTTAGTCGTATTCAAACAGAAATCGGCTGGTGGTGTGAGTAGCTCGTATGAGCCCTAAGCACAAGCGATCCTAACACTAACGACATCGTACTTGCTCAGATTACGGTATTCGAACCTCTGAACTTCCAATGTAGATTGTGTAACTCATAAAACTTCTTGTCATGTAGATCAATACCACCGTTAAACTTACTCACACCGATGAGAAGGCAGTACGAACAGTGCTAGCTGGGTATAAAATTCATAATTGTGATGTTATGATTCGAGAAGATGTAAGCTATATCCTTACAACTTATCTTCATCTCGCCGCTAACTTATGAGGGCCTTAACCAGATCACGATCGACGAGTTCATTGACGTTCTTCTTGGTATGCCATTGAGATAAATGCTCATCGTTCTTTCGCTGAGAAAGCTAATCGAATTTCGGGACCGGAGGGAACCGAAAGTACCTGCCATGCCTATATGTCTTCAATAAGATTGATTCCATTAGCATGGAAGAGCTGGACCGACTGGCAAACCTTGATCACTCGTTGGTGATTAGCTGTGAATTAGGATTGAAGTATAGCGACTCCTTATATCACAAGCGCCGCATTCGCTCACCCTGTGGCTTCCTTATAGCTTGGATTACCTCCTGGAAAAAATATGGGAGAACCTTGGCTTGGTTAAGGTATACACCAAAAAACGGGGGGTCCACCCCGACCTTACAGATCCCATCTGTCTGCGGAAAGGTGCAACGATAGAGGTCAGTCGCATACGAGTAGTAATATGGTTTGCGCATTCCTCAGCTATCATTTGCGCATTCATATTAGCATGTCTGCCATGGTATTCACCGCACCCTCGTGTCGAATTTTCGATATGCTCTTGTTTGGTAAGTTCCCCATGGGTACATATACCAGACTCTTTTTTCCTAACGGACATCCATTCTATAGGGTAGGATGGATCACAGCGCTTAACTAGGTAGGTTGATGGGCTTACCGTATCATTTACGCAGGGAAAGTCGTCGAAGTTTGCTCCTCACCCTCAAAAGGTACCGCACCTTGTATCCTATAACTAAAAGACCTGCCCTAACAAAACTTCTCTACAGGTCGGGTTGACTCATTTAGTTCAAGACGACGATGTAGTCAGCAGTGCGCATCAGCTGTTCAAATATCGTTTTGGCCAATGAAACTCACTGGCATTCCATCCTACAGTATTTACCAAGTAGTCGTCATGATTGTGAACTCCTTTTTTTTCCATTGCCGGTTGTGCGTGAGACCAGTGGATTTTATCATATGAGGAAGTAAAAAAGAATTGATATCTGGCCGTAGCTGCGGAGGAGGGGAAGGCGACGAGGACGATGTCAATATGCCAGAAGATTGTCTTTGCGACTGCCACTGTTCGTACATACTTGGTATCTCCTTCCGAAAACCTGATGCCCGCAGCGCGCTCGCCCATGCCGCGCACAAAGGCATGAATAGTACAGTCACCAGTCCCCCTTAATAAGGAGGTTGCCGCCTAGGCAAATCCTACCCAATGCGTAGTCCGCTCGCAATGCAACTCACTAAAACAAATGACTCTAGATACTAGCTTCTGGTGATCTACATGGTACTCACATGGTGCTTCGTGTGGTCGTTGTGGTAATGTTGCTATATGTACTCGACATAGTTGTGTGAAAAGCAAGAAAAAGAATTCCGACACGGGGAATCGAACCCCGGGCTATCGCGTTCCGCATGAGAGGCGATAATGTTAGCCACTACACCATATCGGATTGCATGAAGGAATGAGAGTGTCTTCTTACTCCGGAGCATCTTGCTTATTTTGATATGTTTGTATGTACCCTTTCTCAATTCGCCTCGTCGTGCTCGCGCGCGACTGTCACGACTCACGACTGGTTCGACACTCTGCTCCTGCGTCACGTGTAGCGTAGGGCCCATCCACGCTCGCCGTTCTCTCCGACATCGGCCGCAATGCCAACGCGACCGCCGCTGCAAGGAAAGTCCAGTATGGGCGCAAGGAAACACACGCCAACCTTGTCGCCTCACCTTGAGGACACGCCGGCGGGGGACGATGCATGGAACGACATGGGCCGATGGCAACAATCCCTCCCCTCGTCCTCTCAGCCTAGCTTTCCACGCGCCCGATTCAAGCTGCGAAGCTCAAGCTCTTACTCATCTGAAATCTCGTCTGGCTCCTCACAAGCCTCCTCTGTCCCGGATACCAACTCGAACCCGCCCAAACCGCCTCAGAAGAGATACTCGGAAAAGTACTATCAGCTCTTCAAAAAGTATCAAAACCCTTCCTCGGTCGAGCAGGAGGATATGGAAAAACTCCACTTCCAGAGGCCTTTGGGCCATTCCACCGATGGAGGTGAAACTGACGACGAGGACGCGGACATAACCTATGTCGCAGCGCGAACCGCCACCCTGGCTGACGACCTGGAGCTAGATGGAGCGGCAGAACTAGGCCAGAGGGACATGGAGAGGTTGGAATGGCAGGCGATGCTCTCCTCCGTCCTTAGTGGTGAAGTGTTGCGGACCGAAAAGACGAGAATTGCTCGTGCACTCGAGTCATCTGAAGCACACCGTAATCGGCTGGATATCTGGTATGGACTCCGCGCCTTCGCCCATCGGAAAACAGTTGAGTCGGAGCGACAGTATCTGGAGGAAGGGAGATTGCGCACCGTCAAACCCATTGTTGACGAGATATTGAACTTTCGCGTTATCTCCCCTGATGACCCAGACGCGGCCGACACCCCTCCCCCTCCACCCATACAACAAATCACTGGCGTTTTGAATCGACTCGATTATGCCCAGTCACTATATCCCAGTCTCCAGGATATGGAATCGGAGCACCCCGCTTGCACCGAGAAAGAGTTCACGTCGAGGAGAGACGTCCTTGTCAGTTGGGTAAACGTCGCGAATTCGCTTCGATACCAGATCGACTCGTTGAAAACGTGGACAGGTAGTGATAAGCTGGACGTTACCGAGCCGAACACGACTGCAGAGGTTCCTATCCAAAAGTCGAAGCCAGCTCCTGAGGAGCACGCCGACTCCACGACGTTCGTCGAGAGAATCATAAAAGACTCTCTTCAAGGAACGTTTGAGAAAGGCGGCCTGGCGAAGATACATGCGCCCGTCCGATCTGCGAAACTCTTGCTCATATTATATGGGGATAGGTTCGACGAGCTTAACCTTCCCAAATTTGAGGACGAGCTCGTCCTCCTTATCTCATTCCCAACCCGACTCATGGAGGCTCTACTTCGCGTCCGGTTGGAGTACGCCCTGAAGCTAAAGGAGCCCAACCTGTTAACGATCGACCAGATGCTGGACGACTTCAGGACATCCATCGGCTTTGCGTGTGCGCTCAAAGCCGAGTACGAGGATTTTATGGCCTCCGACGCGGAGGGATACTGGGACCTACCACCGAGTATCAGCCCTACATACGACACCGTTATCATCGAGTCGCTTCAGTTCTTCTTTAAGCTCATCGACTGGAAGCTCAAAGGAGGCGATAAAGAAGTTTCGCTCAAGGAGACGGAGCTTTTGGAGATGGAATGGGGCCTCATGTGCGACGTAGCCTTGATGACGGAGAAGGGTGCCGCCGTGGTGGCCGAACAGCTATGGTGAGCTCCAGAAATACAGATAGCTAAGCGTTGCATCTAAGCTCTTGTGAACACAGTGGTATCACCAATCGACTGACGGTGCGGGTTGTCAACCTCTTCGAGACACAAATGAAGACGCCCAAATACGTCCCGAGCCAACGCACTTTGCTGGAACGTGCATCAGGCAAGGACACGAGGAAAGAGAACAGCGTCGAGGGGACAGTTCGCTATTTTGGAAATGTTCTCGAAGACGTCCGCCCCAGGTTCCGAAAACTTCAGCGCTTCTCCAGGTATGTGCCCGTTCCATATAATCCTCGTATTTGTGCTGAACATCTGGCCATAGGCTTATCATGCAGCGATTCACAAACTCGGCAGAATACAGCCTTGACAGCATGGATATCGATCCATTCATCGAAGCATTGGTTGCTACGGATCATTTCCTCGTCTACACAAACACGTATGAGGAAGAAGGGGTTTACATCATCGGACATCCACTTCTCAAGGATCGCACCGACAAGGTAATCCGAATGCTGCAGCAGTCATTTGACGTGAACGATATGGCCGATCCAGAGGAGGAGTCTATTTCTGGAGAGGAGAACGCACCCTCCTACCTATTACTCCTCTCACCTACCGACCGGTTCTTGTGGCGGGGCGAAGTGGTGATGATGGATGTTCCCAAGGTCGAGTTTGAACTTCGTGACCGTCGCGTCCGGCTGATAGCTAATGGCTCTCGTGATCGACTGGCGGAGTCGAAGCTATTATTTGCCGAAGTGTTTCTCCGTGACGAACGGGCGGACACTGTAGACGATGATGGCGACGATGACGAAGACAACGACGATGACCGAGAAGAAGAGGAGATGTCAACTCCGATGGGCCCCTTGGCCTGTGTCATCGAACAGCAGGCGCATCTCCCGACTGTCAACCGCGAGCTTCGCAGGATCCTGCGGACATCCAACAAGGTTTCGGAGGCCATCGTGGAGTCCTTGCACCAAGTCCGCCAGGCAGCGAACGGTGTTCAGGGAACACAAGAGTTGGTGGAAAATTGGTTTGTCTTCGCATCGGAGCTCGCGCAGAGGCTCGTCGACAAAGCGCTGTCGCCTAAGGTCGACCGATTACTCACGCGCCTGGCGATATCCTGGGTCGCTTTCATTTGCGATGATTGCGATCCGACGGACAGCAAGACGTTTCGATGGGCTATCAACGCCCTAGAGTTTGCGATGATACGCACTCGGGGAAAATATATCCTCCAACTCTCCGAGTCCGACTTTTCATTGCTTCGACAAAAGGTTGCGAGTTGTGTCACCTTGCTTGTCAGCCACTTTGATATCCTCGGCGCGCGCTCCAGCCTCGAAGCCAAGAAAGAGAAGGAGCGGCTCGCGGAGATGCGACAAGAGCAGTCAGCGACCGATGAATTCTTCCTCTTTAACCACCGTCCCGCTCCTCCCAACCTCTCTCCCGGCCCCACACGCGACCGCTTTTTCCAGGAGAAGGAAGAGGAGGAGCAGACCCGCCCAACATTCTGGAAGTTACGAGAGTTGGATCAACGGCGGGAGGAGATCGAACTAGCGGAGCAGCGGATTGGGCGCGTGTTGGATACAGAAAAACCAGAGGACCGATCCTTGCTCTCGCTTGCCGCGTCCCGGTCGCGCGTCGCAATACGTTGGCAGCAGGGCCGGTTCATTGGAGGCGGAGCCTTTGGTTCGGTGTATCTTGCCGTTAACCTCGACTCTGGTGAACTCATGGCGGTCAAGGAGATCCGGTTCAAAGACGCGTCGAGCTTGTCGAATCTTTCCAAGCAAATTCGAGACGAGCTGAACGTGATGTCTATGCTCCATCACCCGAACATCGTCGAGTATTACGGAATCGAGGTCCATCGGGACAAGGTCTTCATCTTTGAAGAATACTGCCAGGGCGGCAGTCTCTCTGGGCTATTGGAGCACGGGCGGATTGAAGATGAGAGCGTTGTACAGGTCTACACGCTCCAGATGCTGGAGGGCCTTGCCTATCTTCATAAGGCGAGCGTTGTCCATCGGGATGTGAAACCGGACAGTGAGCCTACCTCTCGTGCACTACACGGCGTCCAAGCGCTAACTTGTTCCTTGAAGACATCCTCCTCGATCACATGGGCGTTATTAAGTTTGTCGACTTTGGCGCCGCCAAGGTTTTGGCTGCCAAGACGCGCGGCTCGGTCCAGCGCTCGCGTGTGCCAATACCCAGTATGACCGGGGTCGTACCTGGTATGCTTGGGATGATGGACAACAGCTTGACCGGGACGCCGATGTATATGTCACCGGAGATGATCAAGAATGACCAACGTGGTAGGCATGGTGCAATGGACATTTGGTCTCTTGGGTGCGTAGTACTCGAGTGCGTCACTGGCAGGAAGCCGTGGAGAAACCTTGACAATGAATGGTACGGTCATCTCTCCCTGAGGTGTAACTATCTTTATTAACCTATCCTTTTCGTACTGCTTCTAGGGCTATCATGTTTCATATTGGTGTCGCGACGAACCACCCACCCCTTCCCGAGCCGGGCCAACTGAGCGAAGTCGGAATCAGCTTCATCAAAGCATGTCTCACTATCGACCCAATGGTGCGACCGTCGGCAGAAGAACTCTTTGAACATCCCTGGATGATCTCCATCCGCGAGGGGATGATTGAATACGAAAACGAAACCATGATGTCGGACATGCCCTCGACGCCAGGGACCGGGTCGGCTGCCCTGCCTATGGACTGGTTCGAAGGCTCGGCCAAGCAGGAGGACGAGGAAGCCTACTTTAGATCCTCCACCTCGGAGCGCTCATACAATTAGACCATACACGTAACACTCGTTTCTCTTTATGACACTCACCTCTCAGACTTCATTCTTCGCGGTACCAAGACCGACACCCCAACTCAATTTGTAACTATACACGGCTTTGACTTTGTTGCTCGCGTTTTCATGGTTTTCGCGCATTTCTTTGGGCTTTTTTGGATACACGGTCGAGGGTTTTTTGGGTTGACTTGTTATACAACATACATGGTAGTTAGCAGACTCTTTCCGGGCCGATCGAGTCCAATCTTGCAGTTTTATGGATGACCCTGAGCTTGAGCCATGCTTGACTCAGCTGTCCTCCACCCTCGCGTCCCTTCGCTGCTCGAGCTGCACTCTAGAGAGCTGCTTACCGT